CCCGAGGGTTAGGCATTTTTCTGTCCATTACCTGACTGAATCTTCTCACCAGCCCTGAGAGGGGAGAATTGTTTCATTCCTCAGGTTAGACAAAGAAGCCGAAATGCAGTGAGATAATGTCTTGTCATAGCTAGAGGTCACACAGCAAGTCACAACTCTGCCCATTTCCATCTCGAAGCTCCATGTCCTGCCATCTTATGTCCCTACCTCAGTGCCACAGAAACTGCAGAATGGAAGCCAGCTCTGCCAGGCAATCCACTCAGGGACTAAGTGGCTTGGCGCTGAAGCATCAAGGACGACTCCATGCCTGAGTGACTCTGGAGAACAAGAATGCTGTTCTGTTGGGTTTGAATATGCTCATCAATGGGATCTATTAGTCCAATCTTTCATTAGAATTTGGTAACATTTCTTCAGTGATTTCTCAGCCAAATGGTATGTCATAGAACTACAGTTTCTCTTCCTCTCTCTTCCATACTGAGCTCAGGATGGAAAGATATCTCTAACTCCAAGTCCTGCCAGTAGCCATTAGTGGTCCTGAGGTTAATCAGCGGTTTCCCCACAGTTGGTGGGGCTCTGGAGGACACACACGGATGATGTGACAGCACTTGTTTTTATTATTTTTTTATTATTTTTTCATTTATACAATAGCTGGGGTACAGGCCAGACGTGCAGGAGGGTGAGAGGATTCACCAGAGTGGGGAGAGGAACAGGCAGACAGACTGAAAGCACTGCTGAGGGGAGCAGCAGGCGAGAAAGGAGAGGTCTGCTGTGCCATGTGGGTATCTCCCTGACTGGCTGGGAATCAAACCCGTGCTGCAGAGGCTGCAGATAGCCTCACAGTGCTGCGCTCAACCTGCTGCGCCACCAGGAGTCCCAGCATTTGTTTTTAGGAAGCATCTGGGATGCTGCAAAGGGTGGGTGGCGATTAAGAGACTGGGCATGGTCGCCAAGACATTGAGTTTGCTTGGAAAAATGCTGAAGCTGTGCTAGCCCATTCTCTCCTCAGGCCACAGGGATGAAAAGGTCTGTGGGTAGCTGACTCCTCTTCTTCCTCTTCCCTCCCCCACTGCCTTTAGTTAATTGCAGCTGTGGTCAACGGCCTGAAGCCAAGAGTCCCACAATGCACTTCTCCACAGGAAGTTCCTGAGATCTCTTCCTGAACAGGAAATTTCCTGTGGTCCAACAGACATTCCTCTCAGCGTTTATCACTCACATACATTTGTTTTGGCAGATATGGGGTCTTGGGTAAGAACAACAAGAAACGGTTGAAGGGAAAGCTACCTCAGAAAAAAATGCAGTTCTAGTTAGGAGGAAAGTGTGACTGAATTAACTCCTATCTCAAAAGAAAACAAATACTAGCAAAATGGACTTGTGAGAATGCCACTCACACAGCCTGGCCACGTTTGAGTTTTATTTGTAACTCAGCCTGAAGGTGTGCAGGCTTGGGCGGGGGTGGTTGGGGGGCCACTTCAAAGCATCTCATAAACTTTACCCTTGTACAATTTTGGCCCTTATCAATTTCAAGGCTACAGAGTGATTTCAACTTAAAACTTTTCTGCGATTTCCTTTCATATGTGCTCTCGATAAACTTATCTCCACATTTCTGAATCATTTCAATCCCTTTCACTTTGAGGGACCAGTCAATCCTTTCCTAAGTAGCTCATAAGCCACTATTTCATATTTGTGTTGTTTCTCTGTAGTTGAGTCTACACCTTCAGAAGCTACAATAGGTGGTATGAGAAAATTCAAGTACTCTCGCTTCACCAGTATCATTTCCCCTCCTACTTGACCTTTCTGACAAGGGCCTATAATCCATCTTCACATGGTTCCCTAAGTATTTTTTCAAAACACAAAAAGGAGCACCTCACTTCTCAGCCTAAAATCCTTCAGTGACTGCCCACAGGTTTCGGGTGAAATCTAATTCTTCAGCTTAGCATAGCAGTCCCTTCACGCCTATTTTCCAGTTTTATTTTCCACCACTCCTTTCACTCCAGCCACCAGCTTCTGGTAGTTTCTAGGACCAATCATACATTTTCAATTCTCTTTGCCTTCCTCAGACTCTACTTTTAGTTTCCTTCATGACCTACCCTAAACACATTCTCCTTCTCTAAGTCACCACTTCTCCTCTGTGGACATATAACATGAAATTCACTCCTGATCACCCTATATTCTAATTTGTTTGGTCAATTATCTGTTTTTCATCGGACATGACAAGTTCATTGAGGTAAAATATTATTTGTCTTTGGAATCACAGGACAACTACTGTGCCTGAAGCATAGGGACAGTTAATAGGTATTTGTTGGAAAGATAATGTGAAATCTGATCCTTGTGTGGTAAAAAAAACACTACTAGGAATTTTCTTTTGTTTCTACTGTAAATAAATAAGCAAACAGGCCACACAAAAGTATCTTATATCATAAGCATTCTAGCAGTCTTCTAACGGTCTACACACAGAACTGAAACCTTTTCCTTCGAACCAGGCCAATGTGGAATACCCATTTCCTCTGGGAGGAGAGTTTGGTTTGGCTGTCTGCCCCCCTGTGGTCTTAGAACCCTTCCAACTGGGCTTATTCCCCTCACCCCCAACCCCAGATTCCAGGCCATCCTGCCCTAAGACCAGCTATTCAGGGAATCAGTATAGAGTTGCCCTCACTGCTGGCTTTACTATGTTGTTGCACTGTCACTTGTATTTAAAAAAAAAGTCTTTGCCCCCAGAATGCCTTATTTTGGTTTCTCACCCATATTTATCTTCTAGTCTTTCTCCAGGACAGAAATCCAATGACCAAATCCCAGTTGCCACAGTTGGGTTCTGCTATCTGCTCCTTGAACGCACATTCCCAGAGTGAATGCTAGACGCTAGCTCCCAACCACCAATAGTCTGGCTCCCTCCCACACCCATCAGCGCGACCAGTGCTCCTGGCCTCCTTCCCATTATTGGACATTGAAACTTCCCCATGTGCCCTGACTCGGTGGACACAGCTGAGGTTTTGGAACTGTGAATTTCTAGAGAATATTCCTTCATTTCTGTGTTCTCAGTACCCAGACTAGGGTTGGGAATATTATATTAATAAAATAACAGTGTTTAAAAGGATAAATGGCCTCTCAAAAACAGAACTTAATTTATGGCATGATTTGGATTCGTTAGGAACATCATAGTGGAGGACCAACAAACTATTTGTAGGTTCTTGACAGGAATGAAAGGATGTTTCACTGACTAAAGAACATCCAGAATTATACTCCAGTATTAGAAGAATATGAAAACAATTTGAAAAGTTGTCACCACCCTTATACCCACTGCAGCATGATTCACAATAGTCAAGCTATGCAAACAGCCTAGGTGTCCTCCAACAGATGAGTAGATCAAAAAGATGTACAGGTACACAATGGAATACTACTCAGCTATAAAAAAGGTGAAAATTTGCCATTTGTGACAATGTGAATGGACTTTGAGGGGATTATGTTGAGTCAGAAGGGGAAAGACAAATGCTATGACCTCATTCATATGTGGAATATAAAGAAACAAAGTAAACAAACAAAACCCTTAGATTCTGATCACATTACAGTGGTTCAGAGAGATGAGGGGTAGGGGTGGGGGTGGGATCAACAGGTAGAAAGAGTTAATTGGACAAGAGTTACAGTTACAGAAACTAGACCTTTGGGGGTAGGCATAGCGTGTTACATACATTTGTCAAGTTTTTTTTTTTTTTTTAGATTTATTTATTTATACAAGCACTGGGTACAGTCAGAACTCGGGAGGGTGAGAGGATTTACCAGAGACAGAGCAGGGAACAGAACAGGCAGACTGACTGAAATACACTGCTGAGGGGAACAGTGGGCGGCAGGAGAGGTCTGCGAGCCATGTGGGACCCTCGCCTGGCGGCCGGGGATTGAACCAGTGCTGCAGAGGCTGCGGGCAGCTTCGCAGCCCAGCGCTCAACCACTATGCCACCAGGGGAGGCCCACATTTGTCAAGTTTTGAAAACTTTTATAGTACTACAAATCAATATTAACCTCAATTAAAAAAAAAAGCCTCCCCATGCTGTTCAATTTCTTAAAACAAAAGGAGGACATCCCATTCATGTCCTTGATGGGTTCCAGGCACAGACAAAACACATAAGAGCTCTGCTTTCAATGGTAAGAAACAGACAAGGAAGAGAGCTGGTTTTCAGACTGTCAGTACCTCTACAGCCGTGAACAATTACTTCTACTGTTTTACTCCCACTTCATTGGGTTGGGAATCAAAAGGCCAGGGCTCAAATGCTCACTCTGTCATATATGAGCTTGGTGACTCTGGACAAGGTCTCTTAGCTCACGGAGCCTCAGCTTCTGCATCTACTATTATGGATAATACCATCTAGCTGATGGCCGTCCTGAGGGCTAAATGACATCAAACACATCATCGGGCTGGCACATGATGGGGCAAGGAGGAATATGGCATATAACAGGGAAGATGAACACTGGCCAGTGACCAGGGGATGATTTAGGGTAACGTGCTTTCCCTTTTCCTTGGTGGTATGTGCATAAGAGCCCCAAACTCAACCTGTCCTCTTGTCTAGAAGGCATCCTGATGAGTCCTTTTCTCACACATCTCACTAGCAATGCACTGTCCTTCTCTGCATGGCAGGAGCTGACCTGGTGGAAGAGCTGTTTGCTTTTTATCTGCCTAAAGTGGATGTTTCATTAAGATGCAAAAGGAAAAATCTCAAGAATGTAGTCAAGGTCATTTGAACATTGGTGGAAGGAAGGGACTTGGTTGCCACTTGGATCAAATTTAACCATGTTATTTTTCTAGGCTTTTGAAGTTAAGCTAACAGTAAGGGTGGGAGCCTCTTCATATCTTAGCTAACATTTGAGTCCTTACAATGTGCCAGACACTGTACTGGTGCACATTATGTTCTAATTTATTTCTTAGAACAATGTTATTATGATGAATCCAATTCTTCAGGTCTTTAGAGAAGCTAAGCAACATTCCAAGTTCCTTGGAAGTGGAATGTGGCTGAGCCAAGATCCAAATGCTCTTCCCCACTGCACAATATTTCCTTGCTCTCTGGAAATTGTGCCTTGGTCTCTGGAATATGGGTGGACTTGGCCCATGTACAGGTTAGGGACATAGGTGAAACTAATATGGATGGAAATCCTGGAGGGTGACACTGAGTCTGGGGATTAAGTGGATGGTTTTGAGGAAATCAACCCTGAAAACTCTGTCATCTGCAGTGGCTCCTGATGGTAAGTCAAGATGTTCACTTTGGCACTGTGACTGTCGCATGTGGTGGCCTGATTTCCTCAGAGAGGGCTCCTCCTCCATGGGTCACTACCAAGGCGGGAACAGCTGGTGCTCCTCTGCTAACAGGGCTCTGCTTCCAAGACAGGGAATTGGAAGAGGAAGGCCCTGGGTTGGGGCTCTCAGGCCACCAGGGGACCAATGGGGACCCTATTTTTCAACCTCAGGTCCTTCTCTAATTGATCCATGTTTAAATACCATCTTAAATGTATCAGGCTTTATCTGCTCCTGCTTTATTTTTACAATTATACTCTGAGGTTCAATCTAAAGGACTCAATCTTCGAGATTAAAAAAAATGCAGAGACACAGCTCATCTCCAATGAAATAATTACAAACACTGAGCAATTACTCTTAGACTACTGGGCAACACCAGACCTGGAACAATGGGATGTTGGGAAAATCATACAGCATGTATGCCATTTTCTAGAGGAGTGCCAGGGCCAACAAAGAAAGATTGTTTTGGTCAGGTCAATAGTCACAAAACAGCAAGATGATTAAGTGTTGTGGCTAGCTACAATGAAAGTAGACGACATGGTTCTTTTCCTTGAAGTCTTTACCACCAAACGGGAAAGAGAAAACACATAAATGTATGCATCGAGAGCAAATACTATCTGACGTCTGCATGGCAAGATAACCAGATGCAATTTGTTTCTGGGAACCACTAAGTAAAATAATGACTTTCTCCTGCCAGAATCCAGACTCTTAATGATATGGATGCCCACAAATCTAAGATGATAGTTTTATCATGTACAACTGTTGAAAAAAAGGGAGGGGACAATGGTATAGCATAAAAAGGAAAATAACTTCAAGAGATTAAACATTCAGGTGCAATGAAACCCACAGGTATGAGAGTCAGGTGCACTGAGTAAAGCTGACCTCTCTGCTCACGGACTGGCTCCCCTTGCATTCCACAGCTAGCACTGGGATGCTATTTTTAATCCCCAGGCTCTAGACAGCTGAGTCTGGTTAGGATAAGATATCTGAGTATGGAGGCAGCAGCGAGGCGCCAAACGCCTGAAGCTCACACTACGAAACTTGCTTGTGCCCAAGCAGCTGGGCTGAGAAAGAACACAGGAGCTGCAGAGCTCCAGGACCCGGAATGGTCAAAATAGTCCTGGGCTTCAGGGTCAGGCAGGGGCCGGCTTCACAGCAAGCATCTTCCCTGTCTTTGAGCTTAGCCAGCGTCCAGTGCCAAGAGCTATTTTAAGTGCACTCTTAGAGCAGCTTCTATCCTCACACCCACACTGAGGTCCAGGACGGAGAGGAAAGAAAGAGGGAAGGAGGAGGGAGGCTGATTGATTGACTGGGCTTTACTGATCCTTCCCTGACTTCCGTGGGTTCCCATTGTGCTTCTAAGAAAGCAGGATTCAGCGGGCGTCAGTGCCGTGGGCTATATTTATACCCATCCAGCTGCCCAGTTGCTGAGCTTTTCATAGTGACAAACAGCAGGGGAACAAGATGCCTTCCAGAGGGAGCATTTTCTCATGGCATTTATTCTAGATTTCCCTGGGATGATGGCAACATCCATATCTTTTTTGATGGAGGGAAAAAAGAAAAAGGGAAAAGAAAAATCTGCCCCCACTCTCCCATTGGTGAGCACAGTACAGTCCTCTGGTGCAGTGCAAAGGAGTGATTTGTTCCAGGCACAAAAGGAGATGCCACCTTCCTGCCTGGGCAACCTGTGCCAGGCAGCCAGGTTTGTGCCCAGGGCAGTAGACGTAAGTCATATGGCGCTACACAAGGTCACTGGAGTGAAGGTGCCTACTCACCCGGGCCTTCTCTCTTGTCTCCTGAGAGGCAAAAGAGCACAAAGTGGGTGTTATAACAGAGGTGTCCTCCTGGCTTTGGAATCTGGTTTGGATTGAATACAGGCTGCCTCAGTGACCTTGAGTCATTTCTTTGAGTACTTTGAAGCTCACCCCTTCTAATTACCCCCCAAGAGGGTTTCTGCTGGTCTGGAATGAGACAGTATGTGAAAGGACAAGTAAGCCTGTGTTGGAGTCATTGGCTTATTTCTAAATAACCCACAGCCTCGTGTGCCCAGCACATACTGTAAGGGCCTCTGGCAAGCAGTAAGCAGAGTAGTTAAGTGAAGCCCCCAAACTTACTAGAGGAGTCCCACCAATTTCTGCCAAGTTAGCCCCTTGTGCCTCAGTTTCTCCAAACTCATAGACTTTCTCAAAAGGGTTGTGGTGAGGATTATACAAGGTAGCAGATGTAAAGTGTTTGGACAAGGTCTGGCATCCGTCAAGTGTTAGTTATTAGTGTTATTTTACCAAACAGAAGCAGTGTTATTATGCTCCATTGTTCCACACTAGCAGAGAGAATTTGAAGATCAATTTTCTAAAAATTATAGAGGAACATTCCTTACACTCAAGCATTCAAATTTTTATAATGAGAAAACATGACTCGATGTGAGTTTGCTTATTCTGCAAATGTGCATGTTGCTTCTCTTGCTCCTCCTCCCTCCACCCCCGACTGTGATTGCCATTAATTATTCTATAATTATATAATATAGAATTCTGATTCTATTAATCTAAATTATTCCTCCAAACACTGACTGTTGTAGTTAAACAAAGGGTGGCTATTAATTCTCAAATAAAATAACCATTTAGATCCTTCCGAGTCACTTACAGTGGAAATAAAGGGTAATGTCTTTTTATTTCCTCCCTCTTCTCTCCTTGAGCTCAGTCCCAAGTAAGGGTTGTTTTGTTTTACAGCAGATGAATGAAAACTGAACCCCATTAGCATATAAGACTGGAATCTAAACATAGTAATTGAAATGTAATCTGTCTCAGAATCTGCTGGTCCCCTTTGGGGGTGTGGATTTGGTCTGAAGTGAATGCCCCAGGGTGGAAGTTACCTGGGGCTCTGTTGGGTGGAGGTGTAGTGGCACTGACTTTTGGTTTTTTTGTTTGTTTGTTTTTTGTGGGACCCCCGCCGCCAGCCAGGGATCAAACTGGCTCTGCAGAGGCTGCTACCGGGCAGCCTCGCAACCCAGCGCTCAACCGCTGAGCCACCAGGGGAGGCCTGGCAGCTGACTTTTGAAGAGGTGTGAGCCTGTCCTTCTAAATCAATACAGTGCTGTAAGTCAAAGTTTACAACATGCAGATAATTTTACCCCAATAAAAAATAATTTACTAAAAGATAAATAAAAGTAAAGGTTTAGCTGACTCTGGCCAATACTTTCAAGAGCAGGATAAATGTACATCCATCTGCATGAACTTCCTCTGCTAATTCTTCTATTGGGTCAGTTATGATTTATAAAAGTGGCAAAACAGTATCAAGAAGGGGAATGAACAGCTGGTCAATGTTGAGTATAGGAGGGTGAGGCATAATGCCTTGAAATGCCTTGATTTCCAGCATCTATGCGTGTCTGCATTTACTGTGTATATTTACTCTGCGTGTGTGTGTGTGTGTGTGTGTGTGTGTGTGTGTGTATAAATAGCATACACTTATGTATCTATTTGGAGTGGATATACATCTTGCTTTGAGTCTCAGCTCTCAGGCATGGCTACTTGGCTTCATCTTGCTTCCTTCTTAAAGGACTGTCTACATAGCAATTTCCATCAGTGATGTGGCAAATGTCCCCACCCCAAGTGGTTCTCGAAATATCTCACTTATCTCTTCTCCAGAATACTGGCGCTGTATTTTGGAACCCGCCCCTGAATATTTTAAGTAGGTCTGAGGTGGAAGTGGAATCTCTTGACAAAGAGATTGGTCCAGTCAATCTCTTGCACAGCTGGGTTTGAGAACCATGAGCTCGCTTTAACACCTGGACAACACTGATGTGGACAGCATAGGCAATAGCAGTGACAGTGGCAACATGTTGTGTGCCTGTCATGGTTTTAGGGATTTTAGAAATATTAATAAGCTTATAATTAATTCACATATTTTTAATGAATCAAAGGGCATTGCTGTAAAAACAAAAACCTAACTAACTATCCAGATTCTTCCATACATTTCTTCTAACAAAGGAGATAGACTAGTTGTTTTCTACTACAGGGGACTGGAATGCAAAGATACAGCTACCTGTCCCTTAGATAAGAGTCTCACAGGAGTTCTACCCAGGTGACACTGTATGTGTCTAAAGGTAAAACATGTTATCACTGTTAATAATAACTTCAACTCACAAAGAATTTTCCTTCAGAGAAGCTCTACTTTAACATATACAAGAACACACATTTTAGACAATTTCCCTGTGGCAGAGAGATTGTCAACATTCATCAAAGTTTGAGGAAGTTAATTTTAAGTCTGCTCTCTTTCCCCAAACGCCTTTAAAATAACAGCAAAGAGATTTTTAAGAAGGCACAAGGACAACACCACCAGGAGAGATGATAAGAACAAGAAGGAAGGAGAGGGGGAGCAGGAGGGGAATGAAGAAAAACAAACCAGAAATGTGAAAGCAGATGAACTAGTGATAATTTACTTAGCAAAACCAAGAAAGTAGAATTCTAAACTCGAATGAAGGAAAGCTGTGAAGTAACTAGATTTACAGTGAAGAACCTCTAAAAAGACTTGGAAATTGGTGGCACTAGTTACATCTGAAAATCTGAAAAGTTAAGTCACCGTTCCTTCTGTCCCGCCAACACCTTCCCCACTCTGGGTAAAAGATGTTTATGATCTGGCGATAGTAAAACACAGTGACCCACCAAAATATCATAACGAGGTGGAATTCGTTGAAAGGTTATATATGGAAGATTAAAAGAATGTATCTATGTAGACCACTCAGCCCCCCAACCCTACCCCATACTCCCAGGCAGATGGCAGCCAGACCAATAACTTCTAGAATGGGTACTTGGAAGAGTCATTCATCTCTGGGAAGTCCAAGTAACCAAGGACAAAAGACCTGAAGTTATTCACACCAAAGGGATCTCAAGGAAATAGCTCTGTGGGCAAGACCTACTCAGGCAGGTAGAATCCCACCCACTGCTGTAATGCTCCA